AAGGCGAGAGGGACCGTTTCCGTAGGCCGGAGAGCACCCCAGGTCGACACTCACTCACTCACTCACTCACTCACTCACTCACTCACTCACTCACTCACTCACTCACTCACTCACTCACTCACTCACTCGCTTCGTCAACAGATATGAACCATGATCAATGCTACCGCTACCTACGCGAGTTTATAACAATGACTTGAAGAACTAACCCTAGCGTAACTAGTGTAGTATAAGACGTGCGACGCTTGTGTGTGCAGGTGTCGTGTGTACGTGTGTGTGTGTGTGCGCGCATGTGTGTGTGTGTGGAGGGCGGGAGGAGAGAAAGAGAGAGGGAGAGAGAGATCCCTTAGTTGAATCGGAATACGCCGTCGTGGTTCAGGATCATTCAGGCTCCGTTGAACGGCAATGATGGCTTCAAGTTGCAAGCTTTGGAGGTCTTGAGCCTCAGGGTTTTCGACTTCTCGGATGCTGAGGGGCAGGCCGTGTCATGACATGTTTACCTGTAAGCATTTTGCTGGGGCCCCTTCGCGAGCTTTGCAACCCGACCGAGCATTTCTTTGCTGGCTTCCCATAAACTACCTAAGCCCGAATCTTTAAGTCGTCGGTTCACAAGAGCAAATGATTGCGGAACCCTAAAGCCCAAACCCCCATACCGGCCCGGGATCAAGAACTTCACGTCTGGGGCCTAGGGTTTGGGGTTTAGGGGCACGCTGCAGGCTGGACAAAAGTAGCGGCCTGAACAATTAGCAATACTATTTCCCCTTACAGGGCTTCTTGTTGTTAGCAGAACATAATGTACCGCGAAATCCTATTCGCCTATTCTAATTCGGGCTTGTGTTGAACCCTTCTATTGTAGCATACTTAAAGGATCCCTTAAAAGGAGCCCCGTTGTAATTCTCAAGGCCCCATACGGTTGATGATATAAACCTTGCATCACCCAGAATAAGAAATATACCATGCGTGTATCATCAAACCCTAAACCGTGAACCCTGAACCCTGAACCCTAAACCCTGAACCCTAAACCCTACACCCTAGTATCATCAACCTCATTGATGGCTTTCTCGGGTCCCTCACGACATCTTAGGCGAACGGCGAGGTCCACCGATATGCAGAAGAGGCCTCCAAGGGGGCGTAGGGGGGTTTAGGGTTTAGGGGTTTAGGGTTTAGGGTTGTCGTTGAAGGGGTTTACTTTTTTTTTCGGGGCTTGGGGATTCACGGTCTTTTGGCTAGGGTTTAGGAGGTTTTTGGGTCATTTAGGTTAGGGTTTGGGCTTATGAAGGGGTTTATGGAAACATGTTTAACTCAATTTCATTGGCCGCAGCGAGTTTAGGAGTCTTACGATTTGGGGTTTTGGGGGGTTCGATGGGTTTGGAGTCCAGTGGATGAGGATTGGGCATATTGCCTGTCACTGGTGTAGGCTTATCATTAGGCCCTTCTTGTTGTGCATTTTCGGCTGCTTATTACAAGATGGTGCAAGGCACTAATTCCTTTCTGCCAGTCTTGATGAGAGTTTTGTGGCTACAAGCGCCAAAATCTACTGTACAAGTGCTTAGACCCGTTGGGTTTCTTGCACAAGCACGCACATCATGCAACTTGAGAATCACTGCCTAGATCATGCGCAGCATGCGTGTTGCTGAAGACACGAAGCGCCCCATGATGTGCGAGTTACGGAGCGTCCCCTAAGCCCTATAAACCCTAACTAGCCTTTCATAGTTGTAAAACGTTGGCGCCCAAAGCAGCCACAGCCAGCAAACGAGCCTGTGGCTCACAAGCACCAGAGTGTCTTCAATGGTCTGCTGGGCCTCGCCACAAGACTCTTTATCCGTGTAGGTATACAAACCTCCATTGCCATTGGTGTAGGGTTTACGCCTTGAGTATGCACCTATCACCGCATACTCGAGAATTCAATCGCCAAAACTGGACTTCTCTTGGTAACTCAAACAGTAACCCGGGGCTCGCAAGCAGCACATCTTGCATGTCCGTACATCATGCCAGCGCAGTCACCTCTGAAACTGTTCCTGGACTGGGGGGGGGGGGGTTCAACAACGAAGCTAAAGTGTTCGGCCAGCCCTGAACCCTGGAACTCTAGAAACCCTAGTTACTAGCCTAGTTCGTGAACTCTAACCCTAAACCTAAAACCCATAAGACAAGCCTAATTCCGGAGCCCACCGCGCCTCAGTCTTGGCCGCAAGCGAGACCTAGACCCGAAGCGAAACGCCAACGATCAGAGAGCCGCTTGAAAACATCCCGGCAGAGGGTGAAGCCTCTGCCACGGCAGAGGGTGAAGCCTCTGCCACCTCTCCTTAGGAGCCCAATAGGTAAACT